TGTTTAAAGCAGCGGCCGTCCTCCCCAGATATTCATCAATTTTAACATACAAAATTGGTTTGTTCTCATATATGTTAATATTATTATAACATACAAATTCAATGTATAGTTAGGCCTAGGTCAGGCTAGGTTATTAGGTTCTGTTGGCGATTATTTTTATTTGAAGTACGTGGGTGAAGCATTTATAGAATTGTGGTTCGAACAGAGAAGGTGAGCGAAGCACTTGTTCAGGAAGTGTTCGGACGTCATCAGTTGTGAGTCGCGTGTAAACCGCTTTTCATTCATAAACAGGGGGTTTGGCGGCTGGATTAACGAGCTTGGATCTTTGTATGCGAGGATGAGTTGCTGTTACAGAGGCAGCTCTACTCTTTTCCAAATGTTACCGTCCAACTAGCAATGTTACTTCGTGCGATAAGGTCTGGTTTATTAATGTTAGGAACTTAGATAGAATTGTATATTATTTTATAAAAAAAAAACAAAAAAACTGGATCAGTAATTATGTTTAAGTTAACACTGGTAGTCATTGATTTGACGTTAAATTGACCGTTTCATGTTATCCTCTTCTACATACTGCTATTTGTTTTTATGGAACTTTAGCATATGTTTATTTCAGCAAGATCGAAATAAACAAAAAAATTTTTACATATGGTATTAAAGCAGCCTAGCCTCCTGTTTAGGAGGATGGGCTGAATTTATAGCATTGGATGGGCTTAGTATTTATTGTAACGATGAGGACACTCATACATATATTGCTGTAAACGGCAATTAAAAAGAAATTAATACTATTGAATTTGGACAAACTGAAAAAGTTTTAGGATTTTATTTTGAAAAGAAAACCTAACCTAACCTAATCTTCCTAGGCCTAATTCGCGCAATCTTGAGGCCTAATACAGTACATATGTGTGCTATACTAAGCCTAGGATTTTTTAAATTTGTTTTTTAGCTTTATTTTTTCGGACTTATAAAGTGAATAGTACCAAATTTTACTATCTAATTACCCACTACGTCTATATATGTACGATGGTCCACATAGTTACAAAAAGTACTATCTAAGCATAAGGATGGATTGATTAAGGAATAAGAAGGTAAGCGATGATATGTGTCTTATTGCGACGATGGACAGTGTCCGGAAAATTCAAGTTGAGATCAAGCAAAACTCCGCTCCTTTGTCGTCGGTCAGCTTTACAAGTGATATATTTTATTGACTTGGCTGTCAAAGTGATAGACTAAGACGTTAATGATATATGAGAACACAAGGGAATGCCTCGGATTTTTTTTTAAATATAGTTCGACTCAAGAAGTGAAAGAAGTAGAAGGGAGGGGGGTGGGGGGAAGAGAGATTAGACTTTTTTTTAACCTCCTTGTCATAACACCACCCAGGCACTCAACCCTCCCTAGCTCACAACTACATATACCCTCTACACCCCTGGTAATAAACTACCCAGACTCTACACTCCAGGTCATAAGACTAACGAGACTCCATACACCCCTGGCCATAACACTACCCAAACTCTATACACCTCTCGTCATAACACCGTTCGGACTCTAAACCTCTGGTCATAGCACTACCATGACTCTTTACATCCTTGATAAAATCACTGCCCAAATACCCATATCTGTTAACGACTATAGTACCCAAATCGCTAATCGGTTCTTGATCACCCGTGATCTCGTTAACGTCATTTCTCTGCAGTTGGATAATTGATAAGTTAACAATTTCTTAATTGTTCTCAGCGATTGCAGTTTTTTAATATTTGCTATATAGTTTTGCTTAGAAAATAAAAATACTTTTCGTTGCTATGTAATAATTTGACACGATAAAACAGTTATAATACCATTATTGGAATATTAAAACTATGGAAATTATCACGATGAAGTGTTTAATGTATTGAATTCATTACTTATCACAACATAAGTAAGCATGATCATTAACAGTGATGTGGCGCACATCTAAGGAAACTAGGGAATCGGCCTCATATAGCTGGGATAGTTCAGGGAATACCCAAAATTGGAACCAAAGACCTTGAAATTAAGACACTTGTTTCCTGGCAGGAGCAGTCTTCAGAAATGGCCTGAATCACGGCCTGGCTCAGCATGCTCCGCATTTTGCTACGAGTCAGCATGAAACCCAATAACTCTCAGCTGTGAGGCAGAATTTTAAACTGTTGGTGGATTTATTTTTGCGTCTTTATCCAAGACACATGTCAGCTCGCCTGTGAAGTTGTTTGTACCCGACCCAGAGTTTATTGACCTGCTAAGAGTGAACGAAAACATTTGTGAATTGTTTCTATCGTGGAATCTTTGATGTAACCTGATAAGGTGTAGTTTTCCGCAAGAGTTAAGTGGAATTTAATTGAATAAACGAAAACATTCCATGGTCCGAGTTTGATAAAAATATATATATATTTTTTTTGCAATAATATGCACCCGATACCATGAAACAGCTTCACTGTTCTCCACTAAAGGCAAAATAATATTCATGTATTTAATAGCGCAATATGTTCTTGAAAAATATCATATAGAATCATAGGGGACATTACTAACGTATTTACTTGGGTTGGTAGGTTGAGTGACGCTCTATTCGTACAGGGTAGGTGTTCGATCCCCGATCGTCCTTGTGGTTAGGAACCGTTCTTTTACCCTTGTCTTCGTATTACAGCTCCTTGCCCCTCATATGCCTTACAAGTGCTATATAGAGATTCTGGCATAATGCGTTCTCATAATTATGTTATGCCGTATTTACATTAAAATGTTAATCGTTTCACCTCATCGTTTGATATAAAGACAGCTTTGACACTCAGTAGAGCATGGTGACCAATCGTTTAATACATTGAATTCCTATTCGATTCATTATTTCTAATACTGTACTACCTTGACATCAACACGGCCAAATGTTTTAAATCCGTCAAACAATAGATGAATAAATTTTATTATTAAATACATTACGGGTATATACCATGTCTCATATTACATTGTAACAATTATCAATCTTCCAGAACACATTATAGTTCTTTTGATATTATTTTATCTATTAATGTTCCTAATCAATTCTATTGTAGATAATTTCGAAATTATTTTATAATTCTGAATAAAAAGAAAGACTGACTTCAAGTTGTTTAAAAGGTGCAAATCATTTTTTTTATATCAGCCAAATTATCCCATTATGTTGTGGCAGGATAAGTGCTTTGTTTAAAGTAACATTAAATTAACAAGTTCTTGTATGCATAGGCTACAAGAACACATGAAATACCCACAACAATTTTTGTTATATATAAAAACTATACTTATATTTTACCTATATTAAGTGAAATAATGTTCTGTTTTCTCTTGATGTCTGTATTTCCAGTACGAATTTTCAAGTAATTATTTACAGAACATGCTGGTGTATCACAACCGAAAGCAGTGCTTGACAGGAGAGTTGGCAGCCTCGAACAAATGAGTTTACATTGGCAGCAACACACACGCAAACAGAAATTCCATCAGATGAAAAAAGTTTCCTCGTATATTTTCTGACGATTGCATCATCCGATGTAAATAGGCATGGGAGGTACACTGACACATTATAAGGTTTGACTGGAAGTTGAAATTAATTAAGTTAGGTCAGGTTTTCCAATTCAATTATGCAAGATAAACTACTGTTTGAACTCTCCGGGTTCCAAGGACATCTCAGTAGTTATCACCAATAGTTTCGGTCTAATGGGATTCTGGTATTACGTTATTACTGAACGATTCAGCTGTCAGCAGGCTTTTTATTAAGGTTAGTATCTTCATGTCTGGGTACTTACGCTGGGTAAAATTTAAGGTCTTGACATTTGAGCCTAATAAATTTGGACATCCAAGCTCTTTAACGTGCTATTTTCAGTACGATACTTTTTTTTCCGAAACTTTTTTTCCACTTCTGATTTGAAATACACAATCAAATGCTGTACGTTACAATCTGAACTTTTAACGTGATGAGCATTACCCAGATTGTATTAGCCTATATATAGCGTATGTTTCATCGAGTTGGTTTATATCGTTTACACTGCACGATATAAAGCTGCACGTTCACCTTATACATTTTCGTTCATTGTATTATTTGTTTTTTTTACTAACACATTTGGAGCATAATTTAGTCCAGAGCGTTATCGTCAAGGATGTTTAAACGTAATCTAGTTTTAACTTGCCTGAATTTTTAAAGAGTTTTTTCGGCCTGGTCGTTTTCACTGCATGTGTGGGTGCAAAGGTTTGTGTTTCAGCAAATGTTGCAAGTGTGTTACAGTTTGTTGTGAGTCTTTCATTTGGCATAATATAACCTATTATAACCACTTTTTACTGTTTTGCAAATTTTGTGTTCTTTTTTTTTTTAAATTGAGCGTGGATGCATAAATCTATTAGGCTTCTGATGTTTCCTTACATAGGTCATGACACAACCAGGCTCTCTACACCCCTGGACATAACACTGCCCAGGCTATGTACACCCCATGACCCTGATTCACGAAGAATTTTAATTTTTTTTTTTTAAATTTTGCCCCGAGGGGCGAGTTTATTGGGCAGCGCCACTCATCTTGTGAGTGAACATACCGCCATAGCAGAATGTACAGCACTCCCCAATAGGAAGAAAACCCGCTGGGTTGTTCATCCTGTCACTTGTATCCAGACACAGCTGGGACTTGCTTAACTGTCTCAAGTGAACAGCTCCTCAAACAAGAAGATTAACATTTATCAACCCTTAAAAGCTTACGTTATCTTGCGAAGAAGTTACGCAAGAACTTACGAACGAGTATATCTTTTCTCAATCTTTGGCGGCTTTGTTTACAATTATTAAACAGTTAATGAGCTGCGAAGCACCAGGAGGCTGTTTATAGCAATAACAACATTTGATTGGAAAGTTTCATGCTTGTAAACTGTTTAATAAATGTAACCAAAGCCGTCAAAGATTGAGGAAAGATGTACACGTTCGTAAGTACTTGCGTAACTGCTTCGTGAATCTGGCCCCTGGTCATAACACTGCCTAGGCTATGTACACCCCTGGATATAACACTGCCCAGGCTATGTACACCCCTGGATATAGCACTGCCCAGGCTATGTACACCCCTGGATATAACACTGCCCAGGCTATGTACACCCCTGGATATAACACTGCCCAGGCTATGTACACCCCTGGATATAGCACTGCCCAGGCTATGTACACCCCTGGATATAACACTGCCCAGGCTATGTACACCCCTGGATATAACACTGCCCAGGCTATGTACACCCCTGGATATAACACTGCCCAGGCTATGTACACCCCTGGATATAGCACTGCCCAGGCTATGTACACCCCTGGATATAACACTGCCCAGGCTATGTACACCCCTGGATATAACACTGCCCCGGCTATGTACACCCCTGGATATAGCACTGCCCAGGCTATTTACACCCCTGGATATAACACTGCCCAGGCTATTTACACCCCTGGATATAACACTGCCCAGGCTATGTACACCCCTGGATATAACACTGCCCAGGCTATGTACACCCCTGGATATAACACTGCCCAGGCTATGTACACCCCTGCATATAACACTGCCCAGGCTATGTACACCCCTGCATATAACACTGCCCAGGCTATGTACACCCATGCATATAACACTCTGTGGGAACCGACCTGTGAGATTTATATTTATTTAATTTATATGAATTTATATTTACATTAATTTATATACATCGATAGCAATTTGTATAATGATAAGTGGACTGTATTTCTGCAATAATCTCATAATCTCACAAATCGATCCTCTACACATTAGGGGGGGGGGTTTATATTAATTTAATTTATATATATGCAGCCAATCAAACTACAGTATTAGACTACATACATTGAAGAGGTTCCTTATCTTATAGTACAGCAGGTTAGTCCACCAGGTATAACTAGGGTGTAGACACCACATTTTCCCTCTTTGAGGTAGCTTCCATCACCCTGGTAACTGATGCACAAAGCATGCTTCCTCGTCTTGACCTGTCAAAAGGGCGCTAGCTGTAAAGCCAGAATCCTATATATGACAGGTATATCAGAGAAAATACTGTACATGGAACAATGAAGACCTGGCTTAATTACCTTTAGTTTGAGGCTACCACGTGCTCTAACCGGATCACCCTATATAATGACATTAATGGCCATAAATGAAAGATACATGGGTTTCGGAAGAACACTTAACTTGATTTGTTGACAGCGTGTTGATAATGGTACACCTTTGGTTTCCATAACACTTCGTCCAAGTAAAATTAACAGGAGCCGAATTTGCTCCCGTGAGCCTCTGGTCTAATATAACAATGTCAATGTCTAACACTCCATACTACTGACGCTACTGGCCGACATTGTCCAGATATAATAGGAGCCAAATTTGCTCCACGCGTCTCGGAGGTGACAATAACAATGGCTGCCCCTCCTTCCTCTGACGCCTAGCTTACATTGTCCAGATGTCAATAAGTGATAGAAGGGTCACATTTACTCTACTTTAATACTGATAATTAAGTTAATTTATATGAGATGTTTTATGATGGTAAAGTCCAAAGACTAATGTATTTAAGAATAATTCCCACCATAATAGGTGGTGAATTTATAATAGTATGTGGTGATGATATCCCGTTTTCTTTAGACGGTAATTCCACTACAAGTTACGTTTTCTATGGGTTAACTTGTTTATACAACACAGCTATTATCTGTCTGTATGATATATTAAATGGTGTCGGATTTTCCGACATAATTCCCCAGGGGCTGCTCACGGGTCGAAGTCCTAATTAGAACAGACGAACACCGATACTCCTCCTTCGAATTATTAGATTAATTTGATGTTAGTAGTTAGTAATCACACATTTGTGCGTCTGTTCGTACAGGACGGATGTCCCGTACTAGAGTTGCAGGGGTTAGAAGTCTAATGCGATTTCATTTCCCTGTCAACTCTTGAAAGGCTAATATTCAAGCCTAATTACATATTATTTAACCCAGAAGACTGAATGTGATCAAGTACTACAGTCAAGTATGATTCAGGGACTGCAGTGAGATCAGTGACATTAGATATAACTTGAAGTTTGTTCAGGTAACTAGTCACTGATATATAAACACTGAGGCCCATGGAATACATCTTGATTAAATAATAAATGTATCAAATCAGTCATCAGATTTATTGGGGTTTAATTTAGTTAATTGATTCAGAAGATTGAATAGCTCATCATTAAAGTAAAGTATGGTTCTGAGACTGCAGTGGGTTCAGTGACATTGGTCGCAGTGACTTGTAGCTGTTTAAGGCTACTGTTCACTGATTTGCCACTGAGGCCTCATGAACTCATCTTCAGCTTTAAATGATGATACTAACATCAACCTCTGTTGGTATAGTCAGCTGTAATCTCCTTAGTATAATGCTACTGGAGAAATATAATCAGCTGACAAATTTAGATTTCTATTGGTATTGTTTATCTGCAGGCATAGGTCTCCTCAGGCTTGATACTGGGCCTGAGAGTAATTTACCTCCTGCAGAGTTTAACATGGTTATACCCTGATATTTAGTAGGGCTACCGATGAATCGATGACAATAGTCTGTCCCTACAAGGAGACCGAAGTCGGTGAGGTGATCAGACTTAATATTATCTGCCAATTTTATTCCTCTATTTCTCAGGAATTTGGCTGTTGCTCTCAGACCTTGAACTTGTAGGTCTACTGGTATTTTGTCCACCACAATGGCTTGTACTCGACAGACGTACCTGCCTAAACGTACTGATGGTTGTACCACCTGGTAGACTTGAGGTCCTGCATCTGTTACAAACCCTGAGATGTTGAATGACATCTGGGCTACAGGCCTTAATTGTAGTTCATCTGCCAACTTTTTAGTGACATATGTTCTCTGGGACCCTTGGTCAAACAACCCACGGGTATGGACCTTGGCCCTCTTATTCAGGATGGTAATTTGGGCAGTAGGCAAAGTCGTATTACCTTTAGACTTTGCCGATTGGACACTCTTTGTTTGTTGCACCTTGCAGTACTGTACTGTGGTGGGAATGCTATCTTCCACCTTGGGTCTTGAATACGTTAATTTCGTATATTTACACAGTGCTGCATGGTGCCTACCTCTTCTACACCTGTTACAGGTGTTGAATTGGGTATCACAATAGTCTATGTTGTGTGACTTGAGACACCTTGCACATCTCCCTAATTCCTGGAGTCGCTCCATACGAGTGTCTCTGGTTGGATAATTAGCACAACGGTATGTTGAATGTTTCTTTTTGCAGAACATACATGTCCCCCAGCCTACTGCACGTTTGGAAGTTACCGGTTTGGGTGAACTAGTAACAGTAGGCTTGGAGGTTGCTGCTGCATTGTCAGATTTTCTGCAACTTGATGTTAGAGTAATTGACTGATGTTTATTTGGGGTAGTTGTTTTACCCTTTAATTGACTCTTATTTTCTATTTCTGAAGGCTTGCATGAGGCTTTAACTTCCTCATTTGCTCGTCGTTTGTTTATGATGGAATGTAAACCTTCAGTGATGTCCTGTACTGTCAGGATGGTGTTATGTTGATGTGCATATAATTCATCTAGTATATCGCTGGACAATTTTCGTTGAAGGACTACTTTGGTCATCCATTCACTAGTAGTTATATCAACCTTAAGACTGAATATTCTTAGTAGTGACTCAAACTCCATGCTGAAGGATTGTAATGAGTCAGCAGTCTGATCAGGTTGAGGTAAATCCAGCAATTGTAGTACTAGATGTATGACAGTTTTCTCATTGCCAGCATTATTCCTAGGAGGCTGGACTGGGAAATTAGTGCTGTCGCTATTTTCATTTACATTTTCTACTACTGGTTCAGCTTCACCTCTAGCTTGGAGGCATGTTAACTTAGTAGCCTCAGGTATTGGGTTTTCAGAATCCACAGAGACTGTGGATAAATTGTCTGAGAACTGCTTAATTTCTGGTGGTATAATATTAGGTGAAGCTGTAGTGGGTGAAGCTTTACTGGGTGAAGCTTTATCCTTGTTGATTAAAGGATCTAATCTGGCTTGACATTTATTCTCAAAAAGATCCAGATCATCCATAACATTATCTACTTTATTTGATGTACTTGCTAATTGTTCTGATTCAATTATCCTGTGTAAATGTTCCAACCTGCCTTGAGTTTCTTCTTCATATTGTGCTATGTCAGACAGGAATGGTTCCACATCTTCAACTACTACGTCGTCGTGGACTTGATTTTGGTAAGATTTCCTATTTGCTTTCAATATATGCAATTGGGTTTGAATCTGTAACAGTGGTATTTTCAACCGATGATAATTAATTACAGGCTCATATAACAACTGTTCATATTGGTCGAGATCTCTTGTTAGTTGGCGTTTGCTTGCCATTAAAGCACGCTTTGCTTTCTGTGGATTAGTCATGGTGACTTGTTAATTGGGCACCACTGGCTCATAAATTGTGAGCAAGTACTGATGGTAGCCTAGGGTTAAATTCTGCACTCACTAGGCAATAATCCTACCTCTACTAGAGGTTAGCACTTAAAATTAATACACATTATATATATATACAATCATACACACTAATGATTTGAGTGATAAACCAGTGTCACTGGAAGTACCTTTAGGTTAGCTCTTCTATATCACCCTAGGATGGAAGAGACACTAATTAATCACTCAAAGGTGTAATGATCATAAGTAAATTATTATATATACACAACTCAACTCGAGTTGATAAAAATTACACCCCAAATAGGGTCTGGACCATTCATTAATGGTGTTAGGTTGTTAAATATAGTACAACTGACTATGGTAATAATGGGACTAGGATGAACAATAATAGTTCAACTAGTCAATGGTAAATATCCTACCCTGTTGTGGGTTGGCAATTAGTAAATATTATACTGTGATCACTAGTGCAATATATATTAAATAATTCTCTATTTTGGAGAAATAATATACACAATTATTGATAATAGCCTCTTAATTAGCCTCTATAAAACTTCTAATATTATCTAGAAGTATTAAATATTATTAGTGACCTCGCGAAATAAAGTCCACAAAATTCGTGGATAATCTCTCGCGAAATATAACACCTCGAAATCCGTGAACAATCTCGCGACACAGTCACTAATTTGGCTGGCTTCTATATTAGCGCTGTCATTTCACAGAATAACACGCCACCAAATCTGTGGGTGTACATGAAACCGCTGACTAAGGCTTAACTGGGCTGAGGGAGGCTCCTGAGCTCCCTCGAGGTTACGCTGCCGTCTTCACTGCTGGCTTTGTTTAAATCACACTGCACTAGTTTATTTAATGAATCCACTGGTTAACTGGTTCATCCGGTACTAAGATGACCAAATGTGGGTTCAAAGGACCGAATATTCCGGTTCTGAAGGTCCAAATAATGTGGGAACCGACCTGTGAGATTTATATTTATTTAATTTATATGAATTTATATTTACGTTAATTTATATACTTCGATAGCAATTTGTATAATGATAAGTGGACTGTATTTCTGCAATAATCTCATAATCTCACAAATCGATCCTCTACACATTAGGGGGGGGGTTATATTAATTTAATTTATATATATGCAGCCAATCAAACTACAGTATTAGACTACATACATTGAAGAGGTTCCTTATCTTATAGTACAGCAGG